AAAATACAGACTACAAATTTTAAGTACTATTTATGTTATTAGTTAAAAGCTAATTTTTTGACGGAAAATAATTTGCCAATCTAAAAGTTTGTTCTGATACAGAGTGATGGATGTTCATTTGTATTTTAAAATCAAGCAAATGATTTTGTTGTGTGAATATCATTATTTATCAAATTCTACATGTGCAGATACTGTATATATATTGCAGCTTCTTTTCGACTTGATTACTGAAATTTTACAAAAATATTACAAATTTATTTTCGTATGATAAAAATTGACTGAGACGAAACAAACGAATGAGATTAAAAATCATGAAAACTACTACTGTTGTACAAAATCTATAGTTAACAATTCATGATTTTTTATTGAAAGAACACACAAAATACGTTAAAGTAACCGTATTAGTTAAAGTTTAAATACTTATTAATAATATGCGGCATGATTTATTAATCAAGCATTATTCGTTGAAAAAATATTTATTGATTTTTATCTTAATTTTAGCTGAACATTTTTTCTACTTGAAATTTGATGTTCATCGTGATTACTCTGTATACTATCGAGGCATTTAACTAATTTTGTCAAAAAACAATCTTTTTAATAAATTTACAAATTTTTCTTCCCAAATTTTAATTGTTTGATACATCTGTCGGAACACGGGATTGCTTGTACCTTGTCATAAAAATTAAAACAATATTTAAGTCTACTTTTAAGATACGAAGATTTCATTTTAATAAGAAAAAAAGTTTAGTTAAAAAATTTTAATAGAAATTTATTGTACAAGTCAATTTTCACGATGGATAAATTTGAAGTCTAAGAAGGGGAGCCTGCACAAACTAATATTTTTTCTTCCACATGCATACCGTACAATTTACCTAATTTCATGTAGTCACAAATCATTTTGTATACGAATGCAAGCTAGACTCATCTACAAACTACAGGTCTCGTGAGTAGCGTGTAAGAATTAATCGAAAGTATAAATCTTTGCGAGATTAACCTCCCTCCCCGAAAAAATTATTAATCCTAGAGTCAGCGCACATGCACATATTTCTCCCTCCGTGATAGTTCTCTCATTTGTTTGGGGACTTTCCTCTTTTTCTTCCCCCTCACGTCCGCATACAGTTCAACATAGATGAATGCATGCAGTAACAAAGACATGGCCTATGTAAAGCAAACGCACGCACGTCAGGCGAGATGTTAGCAACAGTTGACAACAGTACAAGAGAGGGATGCAGAAGTTCGAGCCCTATATATTGTTTTTGGAGACCATACTGCTCTGTGAGGTTAGATTTATGTGTGTGGGTTATCCTACCCTCGCTTCGTTGTTGGCACTTTAAGATGAATTTAATTTTTTTTATTCTTCAGCTTTGGATCATATTATGTGTCAGTGCTGTATTTTTGCTGTGCTTACGAGCGAGTACTAAAAGCTTTTACGCTACTGTGGAATACATATAGTTTTTCGTGGTGAGCTGGTAAAAATATTGATAAAATATACTAAGAATTTCAATTCGAAGACGTCAAGTTTATCTTCTATGAGGCAAAGAAGTGTCGAGCTCTCTCTTAAGTCATTCTGATTTATAAAAATAGGTGCTCTGAATATGGCTCTAAAGATTTATGTAGTTTACGAAAATTGTTATTTTTTTGTCACATTTGATTCAGGCTTCATAATACAAGTAATTTAACACACTGGGGTGTACAAAAAATCAGAAAATTATACATTCCATTTGTGATATTTGATAAAATAAAAATAATCAAAATTATTAAAAGGTTTGAGAAGGTAAAAATTTTATAACTGTGGATTTTAATGATTCGACAAACTGAAACGAGTTTGAGCTGGACCTATAAAACATGCTGATAAAATACGAATATAATGACTCGCAGTTATTGAGTAGTTTCAGAAAGAAACGATTAAAATTTTGCCCACGTACTGAAAAGCCTAGGTGCTCACGGTGCTCACATGTTTACGAGTTTGAGATCTGGTCTTTACACACTTGGTTCGCATCTCTGGAAAACTAATTTCGCATATGCGTATTTCTAACTATAGTCTGATCCTTCGAAAGCAATATAAAATGAAATAACCTCATTGCTGTGTAAGTGATTGATTTACTATAAATCTGAGGCAATTTTTCACTATACCAATCACGATAGCACATAGATGCAGAATCATTATACGTATAGTTCGTTAGAATTTCCATAAAAAAAAATAAAAAAGTCTTACCTTGTATACTTAACATTTCAGCTAACGTCTTAAATTTTCCGTTATCAATATTTACTATAAGAATAACTTATCAGCTCTAATTCATACTTTTTTATAGACCCTAGCCAATTCGATAATATATTTTCATGAGCCGAGAGTTCAGAGTTAAGAAAGATGACCATACACTTCAATGACCTTTTATGATCTGGGAGTCAACTGGACGTTAAAAAAAACAACCAATTTTCTCCTGGAAGCGAGCTTAACATTAGCCTTATTTTTAACATTTTTATCAAAGTTTAATCACATGAATCACATGTTATAAATCGCAAGAAAAATCACCAGTCATTTTAAAACTTAATTTTTCTATAGCAGTACCTATAAGACATGACCACAGAGTTGAGAGTACAAGGCGCCAGGAGACATCTAGCAAGAACCTACCAATGCATCAGGCGGGTTCCCTTTGCATTTTTTCACCCCCTTCTCTTTGGCTCCCCTCTCTATGACGACACATCGGATTTACAAATCCAAGATTGCTAAACCCGTGGGCGCGGCTTTGTGTGTGCCCAAGGAAAAACATCCCACAAGCTTTGGCACATTTAATCAGAGTGCAGGCGCAGAGACACGCTCGATAAAACACTGCCGTCGCCGCCAAGATGTACCATTCATCCGTTTTTCTTCGCGAAATATATAATCGTCGCCACCGTTGTCGCCACTGCCTTATACTACACCACCAACGTGGTTGTCGTCATTTCCGGTTCAGAAAATTGTTCGGAAAAAAGTTCTTTAGCTATAGTTTCTCGTGAAAAAAGTCTGACAAGCTGTAGCTTAGTAATAAATTTGCGGATAAAGCAGTGCTTGGGAATGTAAGACCGTAGTAGTGCCGAAACTTTTTTTCCAAATACCGACTTCGATACATGAGATACCAACATTTTTACCCAGCCTTGCAACATTTTAATAAGCTCGAGTGCTTCTTTTAAGTGCGGTGGTTCGTTCATGACGAGTTAAATAAGTAGAAAGGACCGCGTGTGGTCAGACAAATGAGTTTGTTGACTTTGGCTGAACCGGCTTGTTTGTACCGTATTAAACAGACACCACTTGCATTTTAACCTACCAAGAGCATCATTTACCAATAGATAAACAAGCCTTACTGACCAATTGATAAACTTTTTATGTGCAGTAACATTCACATAGAGTCAGTCATTAAATCTTATATTTTACTACTGCAAGTGGATGTGAATATTTTCGCGAAGATCGATAAGTAAATAAATAAAACGAAACAAAACTATAAGCAAAAATCTTCTCCACCAAATAATCACTGTACATCAGCTTGGTGGTTTACTCGAGATCTTTCAGGGCTTGGCTCTTGCCCCACTCGGCACTCGAAGAGTAAATTAATTTTTCTCGGTGGAGCTAGAAAGGAGTTGACTTTTTTTACTCTGAAGCTCTGTAGGTATATATACCCACTCTGACTTTTTATCCTGCTCATCCCTCGTTTTGCGGCTCTTTTTCTCGTGCTCCCTTGATCGACGGTGGATCGAGGAAATGGAAATGAGAATTGCGGCGCCCTGCCAAGAATCCAGATCGTAATGGCGTTTTTGCACGTTTAATGCATCATAGTGGCAGGGTGCCACGTAGTCTTTTCTAACCACCAACATTACCACATCGAGCTTAAAATCTCTATCCTACCATGAATCGTTTATTTTTTTTAGTCCTTTAAGAGAACCGCAGGAGGAATTATCGAAGGTGTGGTTGTTTATCACTTCGTTTTGGCTTTGTTTCTGTTTCGCAAGTATTTCCCTTGTACCTTTATCGCTTAGTACAGTGATTGAACGCTGAATAAAGTTGATTTTCGGAATGATTAACTTGAAAATGGTAAATTTATGTAACCAACTGAAAATGATCCTGTCGATTAGAGCCCTAAAAATAATGTTTCATATTTTTGACCATGTAGTACTTGTTCTAATTATAGTCAGTCTTTTATGTTACAAAGATATGTTATGCATTCATAAAACCTTAACTTCATAGATATATTACAAATGTAGTTTAGACCAACGTCATCATAAAATACTCACAAACGCGAAAACGGGCCATGCTTAAGACGAGCATCGTGCTCCACTTACACAGCGCAAAAAAGTTTACTTTGTGACAGAATACTGACGACAGCGACGCGCGACGTTTTAATATTTCAAAGTGGCTAACGGAGTGAAAGATGCAAAAATATGAGCCTGTAAATGAAACCTTGCTCGGAACGGTCATCTAGTTTAGGCGAGAAAGATAACTGTTTCTAAGTGTGCGTCTTTCGACGCTATGCTCTTTCCGTCTTCCTTGAGAAAAAAAAAAAAAAACCAAACCAAACAGTCTTGCAGAGCTTGAAACACCCACTGCGAGCCTGTAATTTTCTTCGTTTTTAATTTTTGATACCAAAACACCCAAACACAACAGATATAGATTGAGGAGCTATTTTTACAAAAGTTATTTTACCAGTGTTGCTACTGTACCATACAAATAAATGCACGAATTTTGATTTCGTATTTTCGCATTGTCCAGACTGAATATATTGTGGAAACAGTGTAATATTAGCATTTTAAAAACCAGAACATTAGCATGGGATCTGTGCTACCTTGCAATTTGTAAACACACTTTTTCATCCGAAACATTCTTTTCATCATTTTTTAAGTGTCATCGTATCGTATGTTATGTGAAAAACTGATTCCACGACGAGTCTTGAAGATATGACATTTTTTAGTTAGATACCTTCGTAAAATTTATTTCAATACATTTCTATAGAAAAATTCGTATCAATTTATCAATTACCTTCATTGGATCCATCAATTTTCTTTCGTCGGCGGCGTCTTTTGTTCTGAACTTTTTCATCCTGTAAACAGTTCGAGGACGACGTATCCTCGTACTTTTCAACGATGCAGGCCACTGTTGGTTTCTTTGCCTCGTACTGTCGCCTGCGCAAAAGTTCGTAAACTCGTTTGAGGTAATCCCTCGCTATTTCTTCATTCGTTTTATTCTTGTAGTCATAACATATCTCGTCACTGCCTTCGCCATCTGCACCATCAATAACCTTGAAAGTGTCACTCTTCTTAATATTCGAGTTAGCACACGAATCAACATAGTCATCGTTAACTTTAAAATCTCTCTTCGATATGGAATTATAACCAAAGTCTGGCGACCTCACGCCATACGTACAGTCCTTCTCTTTGGTAGTCTTCATCTTTTCATTCTTTGAAAAATCGACCACGATATAGTTCTCTTGTAAACTGGTACCAGGTCTTTCATCGTCCTCGTTTGATCGGTTTTTCGAGTTGTCCTCCTTCATCGGTTCAACGCATCTCTTTACGTTCTCACAGATCCTGCAATTCCTCGTGCTACAAGAGGCTCGCTGATAATCTTTCCATCTAGGCCTCTTCATAAAATCCTCTTCAGCCAGCTCATGCTGCTCTCTCTGGAGGCGTTCCTGTCTCTTACGCTCCCTGTACGCTCGCCACGATCTTTCGAAATTATCCTGACTTCTTATGCACTGAGTCGGGTGGTTGGTGCTTGCTGGACAATCATTTTCCGAGTCGACGCCACCTCCGGCCGTTCTGTGGCTTAGCAAGACGTCGCTTTTCGTTTTCCTATAAAATTTTTTCCTGTCCGAGGCTGAAAAACTTTTCTTTAAAGGTTTCTGTTGCTGCTGCTGCCTGGCTTTTAATTTTCTTTTCGAAGCCTCGAAAACTTCAGGCTCGAACCTTATATTCGCATCGCTACATATTTTCCTTATTATGTAGTTTCGTAAAGCCAGTTGCCTTTCATCCTCGCGAGCTCGGTCCGAATGCCTCTCCGTAATGCCATTCTCTGGCACATCAGAGTAACTATCTGGTGGGATGCGCTGCAAAATCTTCTCTTCCTCCAGCATTTTCGCCTGAATCTTCTCCTTCAGAAATCTCCTGATTTTATCCAGGTCCTCTTTGCTGAGCTTCTTGTTGGCTAGTATTGGATTCCCATTGACTGCTCGGCCTTTGTAATATCTCGGTAGCTCCTCATTTTCGGTGGACTGGGCACCGTCGCTCTGGCTTCGCAAATATGCTTTCATCTTCTTGTATCTGGCGCACGCCACTTCAACCGGCCTTGGCTCAGCAGTATCGCTATTCCGCTTATCCAAGTTGTCGAGTATCTGTTGGCGCAAGTAATCACTGGCCGAGTACCTCTCAGCCACCGTCGCCGCATCTTCATTTTTTTTCATCGGCGTAGCTGCGCTCAAGAGAGAGGTTTTGGAATCGTTGGACGAGTGACGCTTACGCGTCTTGTGTCGCTTGGACAAGGACGAGGAGGAGATGGTGGCGTCACTGCGTGATTTGCGTGGCGGAAAACCGCAGCCCAAGGAGCCAAACTTTGAGCTAAAGCCCTCGTAGTTGCGATTGCCGAGCGTAGAGGTTTTAAAAAGGGGTGGGTCCAAAAAGGCTTCCTCCAACCGCTCAGGAAAGGACTCGTGGTATTTGAGGCCGTCGTGAAAGGAGCCCCGAGCCCGCTGAGCTACACCAGCACTAGTTTCTACCAGCAGCTTTCCATCTCTGTCCAGGAGCTGGATTACCGGAAGGGTATCAGCTGACGTGGTCAGCTGCCACTCCCAGTGTGGTGGTTTGTCTAACTTAAGGCGTATCACCGGTTCTTCGGGGGTTGGAGTATCGAGCGAGTCCCTACTGACGCGCCGAGCCGTCGCCAAGATCAAGGGATGCTGGTGAGTCGTCTTCATGGCTGACAATTATGGCAGTTGTCTTTAATCTCTTTCCTCGAAGGTTCTTCGCCTTTCTGGCATTCGAAAGCCGTTTATCTCTTTAGTAGTACCTGAGTGCTTTCCACGAGGTGACCTTGCAGGTTGTTCGTGATACTTCAGAATCGAATGGTTATCGGCTTTCTTGCTCGTACCTCCTCGGTCATCCGAACTACTTGTTTTTTTGGCTCGTTTGATTTCGCTCAATTCAAGAGTCTGCATCCAAGAAAATTATTACAATGCAGCTTATATAAAGCTGTTTTTTCATTGCGGCCGCTCTCTTGGCAGCTTAACAATATGAGCTCTGGCTTCTCCGAGCGTTTCAATGATGTTTACCGACTTGTTTTTTCAATTCTAAGGAATCTTACATCTTTTTTCCCCAGTTTTCTTTTAACTCTGCAATTGAATTCTCGTCTTTTAAAAAACAGTCTTGGAAACATGTGATGTTCGATTCTAAAACTTAAATAATATTTGGAAGGATACTCAAACTAGCTAAATCCGAGGCTAAATCTATCAGTACTCAAATTTCAAAAAAGTAACTAATCGATAGGTCTTTTAGACTCACACTAGCTTGTAATCTCGATCGCGTCAGCAACTGATTATCAAGTCTCTCGAACTTTTCGTCTCAAGCACTACTGCTCGTATTCTCCTCCACCTCCTCTTCTAATCTACTTCCTTCTCAGCGTCGAAGGAAAGTAGCACTATGGTCGTTTTTTAAACATACCTGAGCTCTCGACTACTGCTCTCTTTTCATCCACGTAGAGACGTATGCACGACGATAAGAGAGGATGAGAGGATGAAGAGAAATGATACGGATAGCTGTAGCACTTAACTGCACAAGAACACGGTCAACTCATGCGAACTGACTGACAGACGGCACGCTTGACATGGTGGAAAACGAATTGGTTTATGATCTGTATAACACTCGACATGTTACTAAACGAACAAGTTTAAAGAGTCTGGAGATTCGCACGTCACGTGTGTATCACGACTGTGGCTGTGTGTGCTGCCTACGATGCGACCGACAGCATAGCAGTGGCAGCAATAGTAGAGCCGCGGTCCACTCGCGCGCTTATGACGTCACGTGCGCACCTCGCTCAAAATAAATCCCCAGCGGGGATTCGTGGGATAGCTGCGTAAAATTTCGAGATCGCGCTAGCACGGAAAGCACGTGGCACTTGTGTCACGGACTTTTTCAGCGTTCCTTTAAAACTACTGTTCTTCTTCTTTTACTTATATTTTGATGCCGCTAACTCTCTCTCTCTCTCCTCTCTTCCTCATCACCCCTACACCCTGCTTGTTTGTTACTTACGTAACTTTTGAAGTTATGAAATCTGATACAGATTTGTTTTTATTTTTTTTTTTACTTTAATCAATTTTATTTAAAATTGTCTGAGTCTGATATGTTGAGAAAGAGTGAGTTTTTTTCTTCAATAAACAATGTTTTGATGTTTAAAATGTACCATTTGGTGCTCTGAAAGTTGTTAAACTGGTTTGGTTGATGTTTACCAGTGGCAATCTTTTTTTCTCTTTTTTTCCTTCAGAGTAACGTCCAAACAATTTTGTTTGAGATCCCTTGTCAGAAACATCCTTAAAAAAATACGTTATACTCTTAACATTAAGGTATTGCTATTGACACTCTAATTGTGGTCCAGATTTTAATAAAATTCGGTTCACTCTCAGGTATTACTGTCAAAATGACTCAGTTAAAATTTGGCTAGCCTATACAGCGTTAAAGAAAAACTATGATGGTTCTTATTTTGATGCATTTAATACAGGCTTTTACGAAAAATTGCATTAAAATTTAATTTTCAAAGAAATTACGATTCAGATTTTAATAAAAGTTGGTAGATCAGAAACTGAAGATGAAAAGTGAACCTTTTTAGCTTTAAAATTTTTATTTATTGTATGAGTGAGTATAGAAATAAAGAAATAACTGTCAAAAACGATATTTTTTTTTTGTACGTAAAGATGTACTCATCTGGATATTTAACAGCCACGAAAACAACAGTCTCGATTGAAGCTAAAAAAAATTGCGTTTGTTTGTGACTATACCCATTTTTGACTATTTCTTAATATTGACGTATTAAACATTTTGATTGCTTCGGACCTTACCCTACTTAGATTATACTGCTAATTTATTTTTAACTCCCATGCAAATTGAATACCACAAATCATAACACCCATTAAAGTTGGTCTGAAAGTGACAACACTATTATATAGAAAAATTATTGTGTGCAATCATTGACTCTTCAAGAGACTATAACTATAGGCAACAAGCGTAAATCAGTATATTTAAAACAAAAAACATAAGTCATCCGAAGAGAGCGGCGTTGTCTCAGTGGTAAGCGTGCTTGCTACTGATACAACGCTGTTCTAGGGGTCGTGGGTTCGATTTCCGGTGAGTGCAGATTTTTACAAAAACTGTTTTCATCGGGAAAAGTTCCTATATGTAACCCCGGCTGTTTCGGGGCGGGTTTTTCCATGGAATTTTCCTTCAGAGTAATTCCAGGGTTGTTTATTCCTTGCTCCACAGGTCTTCGGGCCTGGGTGAATGCGAAACAGTGTTTAGGGCCTCATAGGTAGGGATTATAGTCGGCCCGTTGCCAGGCAGGGATCGCCGGCCTTACCGGGGAGGAGTGGCCCCTGAAACATGGGGCTTCTCCGGGGATGCTAATTAGCCTGGATCCGATCTTCGGACCCAGGCTACACAGTGGCGAGTTGACCCGATGCACTTCCCCCCGGTTGAGAGAGTGTCGGCTTAACTGACAAGGTGTGTTACACCGGAGATACTTCCTCTGTGCCCATAGTATGATTTGTATGGTATCAATTAAAAAGAGAGAATTTAATGGGTGCGGCAATACACCCTCACACATAGGTGGTGAGTGGGTGGACCCGTCGACTGTATTTTCAAATTGTGAATCGTCGTTTAATTAATCCAGCCAGGTGGAGCTTCGACAAAGACCAGTGGAGAGAAACTTCTGTAATCTTCCGGTTGAAAATCTTGGGTGATTCTTGTAGTTGAGCAAAAAGGAGGATTGAGGAAATAGAGAAAGTGGAAGAGAGAGAGAGAGAGAGAGAGAGAGAGAGAGAGAAAATACCAGTAGTCCAGTGTTTCTGTCATTCTCCGATAAGTTGCACTCTCTTCCACGTCCTCTCCCGGTGGATCTTGTCTTCGGCTCTCTTTTATCCTCGCGAGTACAGTTCAAAGCTGCAAGTCACGTCTTTCTTCGTGGGATTCCTTTCGCTTCTCTCATGTCTTTCGCGATTTTCCATTTGATTCCCTCGTCCTGCAGTAGTAATGAAGAACTCACAATTATTATGAGCTGTACCTTTCTGTCTTTCCCTGTACTTATTCATTTGCCCATCGAGAATTCGAGTTGGAGTTCGGTCCCCACCTATATTCCTTCATGCCGACTCTTCATTTCAAGCTACAGATAAACGAGTCTCGAGGTATCGATGGACGCGATCAATAAATTAAAAAAAATTAAAGTAAATTCATTGACATGGTGATTGTTTTTAGCCAATCCACTGCTCAATCGTAAGTAAACTCGAAAAAAATTTATTTATCTTATGCCCATGCATGCGTATTTAAACATCTGTCATTTCAATAGTAACAATTCTAATTATATCCAGAGTAACATATTAAAAAAAAAAAAATGTTTGCAAAGGACCTTCATGCCATTCATCAACAATACGACACAACATAAGCGACTTTCGAAAAACATAAAAAAGTACATCACATAACGTTCAGTAACTATTCAGTTGGCCTGTATTCGGATATTACCAGATTGGTAGTAGCAGTAGTAGTACAGTACTTAGTTATAGTTGTAGCCCATATAGGCTGATTTGGAGTTCCAGTTGACGGCTTTTATTTTGGTCGCATGTACACTGTGTTGACATAAATTAGTTACGTGGGAAATTTGAACCTTTAATTCATCTTGTCTAGTAAGATTAATAACCTCTCTCATTGGTGGATTTTATACTTTGTGCCTCACGAATCGATGTCAGTACAGTGTACACACACGTGAGCAAAACTTTTTGCTGCTTCTCGCTCAGTCGTTGGATACCGAAAAAAAGCTCGGCTACCGATCGCGCATTATTATTAGCAAAGTGTCGAAAGCTCAAGAGCAAAGAGTAGTTCTGTCTGCCTTATTCCCTCTCGCTATTTAAGATGATTGGCTGAGCAGTACCTAACAATTGCATTTTCTTGTGATTTCCCGTTAATAAATATAATATAGGTAACTTGCAAAACCGAAATTCTTATGTTATTTGTGTTTCTTTTTTTACGAGCTAAAAAGGCTCAGATTGTTTATTGTGTTATTAATTAATTCAATCACATGACTAACAGTTAAGTGCATGGTTTTACTGTAGCGGCTTTTAAATATTAGAATGAATAGCATCAGCAAGAACTAATAGAAATTCGTGATTGTAACATTAAAAAAATCTTGTGTAATGTTTTAAACTTTACCGTTATTTGTTGACAAAATAATTGTAAGCTATTAAGAAAATAATCTTATATTAAGTCATGTAGATTATAGTGGTGATCGATAATTGCAGAATATTTTTTAAAATATTTTTGTGAAATTAATAAAAAAAACATTTAGATGAGTTTCAGTTCATACTTTTTTATTCCGTTTTAAGTAAATAAACGATGCCTGCACGCAACATCAAAAATAAAATCAACAGCAAAAGTATACAGCATAGAAAATAAGAACTTGTTTATCGGTGGGTATCATATAAACATACACAACGGACTAAAAAGAGAACTTGTCTTGATGGAACGCTATCAAACTGTAACATGTGCATTAATTTAAAATCGTAGTTATTTTCGCTAACACAATCCAATTTGAGTACAGTTCTATGTTTGTCTATACGATAGTACACAGTTTGTTAAATATTATTAAATACGATTTTTTTATGTCTTTTACAAAATGCCATAACAATATTGTTGCTTCAAATATCTGCGATAAAACACAGCTATGAACTATGAAATTTGTTTTTATCTGTACTTAAGAGCTAATGTTTTAATTTATTTTATGTATTATATCTTGCGTAAAAACAATTCTAAAAAGGTTTTCTTTTCCACCAATCGAAATGTGTCTTTTTTCTCTAATTTGTTAGCAAAAACAAGGCTTTTATTTATTACAATATTATTTTAACTATCTACACGTACGCTCTTATTTTCTCATGTCATTATTTTTACATATATCTGTACGCATACAATACTTACTATCATTGATAAAACTAATATTTTCAAAGATTTGTCTATCTAAAAAAAATTATTACAAAATTATCACTCAAGTCTGCTGCAAGTGAAGTTTATATTGCGTTTTTCTTTATACACCTACAAATTGCAATGTAACTTGTGTGGCTGTAATATGCAGTATTTAATCATAGTTCGCTATATCAATCAAAGTATGAGTGCGTTGAGAGCAATTATTATCAATGACCTGAGACGTATAATATCGCCAAGAGTAAATAATTACTATATATTTATGTATATTCAGGAACATTAAAATAATGTTATAAAATATTTTTAAGATTTCTCAACAACATCACATTTGCATGAAATTCTAATTTTCATTACTTACTAATAAACAAAATAATACTTTTTTGAGATGTATAACGGGTGATAATAAAAATTATGATTAAATCAGTGTAATTAATCTTACGCAATAATGAAATTAATATTTATATTAATCACAATCATAATAATCTTACATATTTAGTGTACATTATACAAACATAAGTTGGTAATATACTTCAAAATTGCATGCATAACAAGAAATGAAGATATTTTCATTCTTTTATGATGCAATATTTCTTAAATGATAAAACAATAATCGCACTGTGAAAAAAATTTGTTGTCATTTCAAAACTCAGTGGTGCATAATAAAGACTGCTTTATCACTTGTTACACATGTATGTAATAATAATGTCTAATCTATCTGCCAGCAGCTACTTTTCTAAGTTATAATACACTTATGACTAATCGCAGATAAGTACTTTGTACATGAGAGTTTATATTTTATGTGAATTTACATATATGTTTGAGTTCGTGTACATCACCAAGGGAAAATTTTGTAAGTATTTTGCGACGCTATATGTTAATTTTAATTCGTGAACTAGAAAAATTATAAATTAATTACCATTTTATCACGCACCTTAGAAAACTTCAATTTTTCAGTTTTATAATAGTATAAATTAATAAATTAATTTTAAATGTCTTAATTTAAAAGTTGTGAGCCATATCAGATGAGTGTGAGAAAAAGGTTCATTCATACATTTATGTTTACATTTTGCAAAAAATAATATTGTTAATTGAGCATCGCTGGGAAATTTCTAGAAAAATCCTATTTAAAAAATCTACTGTTTACAAGGTGCAGTAAAATACAATGGTTTGGTTGCTTTGTGGGGTCTTGGTTTGAGGAAGAAAGCTTCGGTTACCTGGTGTTGCTGAATAAGATGTTGCCATTGCTTCTGTCGATTTCTGCAATATAAAAGGTTAGAAACTATTTTACCGAATAAATATCAGTAGTTAATGCAAATAAAAGTCGCAAATTTTTACTAATTGCCACACATTTTTTCTAAAATTAAGTTAAAAATATTGGAAATTCTAGTACCTGAATACAAATGATGGCGGCTTCGTCGTTACAATGCTGATCCAACTTTAATCCGTTTTGTTGCTCTACTTTATCAACACTAGATTTCATTAGTGATGTATTCTTTGTCAGCTTTGCTGTAATGCCTCCCGCAAATGACGATAACTTACCCTCTTCTTTGTTCTTTTGCTTATCATTTTCCTTATCTTTTTTTCGAGTAGTCATAATTATATGCTCATTATCGAATTGTACACTTTTTCTTCTCTCAAATTTTGGACTTGGCTCAGTTTTTAAACACGATTGTTTCTGAATAAGTGGTATTGGAGTACTTACAGGTGAAGGAGAATTTTGGATCATAATTTTGTTAGCATCGTCGCTGAATTTGATTCCCGCTTTTTTAACATCTTCTTTCTTCGGTGTTACACTATTTTTAGTATTTTTTTTTAATTTTTCGTTTGCCTTAATCAATTTAGTTTTATTTTTTTCTTGCTCGCACTCACTGTGCTTTTTAAAAAGATTATCCTTAACTTTAGCTATACTACAAATCTCACTTTGAATCTCATAGTATTTAACGTAGTTCTTAACACTACCGGGGATTATTGAAGCAGCCTCGTGGGGTTGGTCCTTCGTTACAACTATGGGTGTCGTGGCCTTATTGTCGTTATCATTATGGTTGGTATGCGAAGCTTCCTTTATTATGGCACTCGTGTTTTTGTATACATTAATTATGTCAAAAGTGCTACTGTTTGTCATCAGCTGTGTTAAACAATCTGATTTGGTATCAATATTTGAATTTACACCTTCGTTATTATCTAAAATGTTTCCCACTTTCTTAATCTCATTTTTTTTGTCAGTCTTTACTTTAATATTGTTTTCATCTACTTTATCCAATTCACAATAGTCTTGCAATCGAGACAACGTATGAACAGTAGTCTTCACTGGCTTCAATTTGATTGCGCTGAAGTTAGCCAAAAGCTCATCCAATACATCACCTTTGACTTCTCCAGCACTTGTATTTTTACTTAAGCTTGTATTTATTTTTTCCAAGGCTTTTATTCTCATGCTAGATTCTGTTGATTCAGTGCTTGACTTATTCGTAGGCTCTACTGCCGTTTCGGTAGAGAATTCATTTACATCAGTGGTAAGAGGTTCAGAACTGTATATTTCATTTGCCGAAGCACTCATATCTTGCTTTAACTGGGTAGCTACAACTTCGCAATTGGCAGTTGATGTAACCCATGAATTTTGAGACAAGTTATTACCGTTTAACATTGTTTCTAAAAAGGAGTTTCGAGGTGTATTTTCAGGCACTGGTTTATCCTCAGCAGGAGATATTTCAATTATTGGTATTTTATGTAGATCTAGAACTATAAAAGGTTTTTTTTCATTACATAAACTATCAGTTTTAGCTACATCTTTAATTTTTGCAGAGCTTTCAATCCTGATGTTAAGTTGTTTTATATTCTCTGTAGTCATGTTGTCATTCTTTTCTGTGTTGTCTACTGTGTCATCTCGATCATCGAATGTGATAAGTTGATCAATCATTGCAATTGGCTCAAGATATTTTTTGTTTTGTTGGATCCTATCTTCTTTTAAATTGACTTGGTCTTTTTCAAAATACAATTCCCATTCATCTTCCTCTGACAAGTTATAAAAAGAAGAATCTATTAACTTTGTCCTTTTTTTTGATGATTCATCATTCATTTTATTAGATACTTTTTCTTTTGCATGTAACTCTGAGTAAAGTTTATGCTTAACATTTGTATTTTTAGATTCTTCAAGATTATCTTCAATTAGTGATTCTGTTTGACCTTTATCTTCTATAAATGTGGCTGAACTAAATATGTCAAAATCTTCTTCCCATTCAGAACACGAATCGTTAATTGGATTTGTTGTTAATGTATATAAACTGTCAGACATATTTTCTTTATTCTCTACAGTTTCTAAATAAAATTTACTTGTGGTATCTGTGTCATTTTCATGTTGTTTAATGTTAGACCCTTTTTTGTCGACAGTCTCAAAATCTTCATCAATTATTTCAAATGATTGTACCGACGAATTTTCACAACTTAAAAATTTCTTTTCAATAAAATTTATGTAACTACTGCCATCATCATCGAGATCTATGTCTGGTGTCGATGTACTGGGAGATTCTATAATAAAACGCACTTTCGTAGTTGATTTTTCTGTCGATGCACTATTTTCATCCTGAGGGATTGAACAAAACTCTTCGTTGAGTTTTAAAATCTGTGGCCTATTTAATTGTTTACTTCTGTCTAAATAATCTTCAAAGATGTATTTATCACTTTGCTCTTCCTCAACTAACTTACTATCATTAGTGTACAAAGTATTCCATTGCCCAAGGCATTGTTCAAACGGTCGATTTGTGGTTGTAACACGAAAATATATTTCTTCTCTGATATTTTCAAACGGAACATTTTCTGCAAAAGGTAACATCGCTTGTTCCGATATTTCTTCTATTTTTTCATTTATTTCTTTAACCTCCTTCGTAATTTCATCAAAATTTTCTGATACTTCTTCAATTTTCTTAGACGTTTCTTCAGTTTTTTCTAGTATATATTCAGTAGATCTATCAATCTCCCTTGGACATTCTTGTACAACCATCTTGTAATCTTCAAAAGTGAAATATAAAGGTGGATACTTATTAGGTTCGGAAGACTTAAAAAAAGGTGAACTCGATCGACTACTACTTGAGTCATTGAAATCTAGACCCTGGTTCTCTACATTTTTTGATCTTTTTTGATCTTCTACTATATTAATATCTGTATCGTTACCGTTATAATCACTTTCATTAATTTTTTCAAAGGACGTAGTCTGCAGTACTTTATCATGGTTACTAATATTGCATTCGAGGCTGTCATAGAGATTGAAAGATGAGGCTAAGCGTTTTGAATGATTTTGCGATGATGCTGGTACTTTTTTTCCGGTCTTAGATCGTTGAGGTGGAGTTGGTAGATGTGGAGCTGATCGATGCTTGCGTTCACATTTTATTGCATGTGATTGAATGGAATTCAGATGCCTTGCTACCTCACTTTTACATCTTTTACGGCGTGGTGGTATTGGCGGTGGAAGTGAAGACTCATCTGCGTCACAAAATTTTAATTTTTCATTCATCATCGTTCACTATGCTTTAATAATTAAAAGAGCAACATGTATTTATGTTTAGTTTCACTTTTAAATCATACAGTAAAATGGAATGGCTAACATTTTTGCATAACGAGTTGAAATAAAAGTTCTGAAAAAGTAAACCACCTAAAAACTTTTAGAACAAAGCACTTGCAGTCTTAGCACTAGGTAGGGAATAGAGGGAAACGTGTAGAATCACGAGGCTCGTACAAACATGAACTGACGACGTTGCACTGGAGCTGATACCTTACAAGTGATACACGACCTATACTCCTCTCAATTGCAGCCCGTCAATAACAAAGACAAAGCGTATAAAGCTCATTCGTCTGACTATTTATTAAACATAGTTATACCGTTCAGCTTATACAATTTTTATCACTTAAAGTCAGGTTTTAGGCTATTACTTATAGTCCTATACAGTTATTTTTTCTAGAAAAGCAAAAATATTTTACCTTATAGTTTATCGTAATTTAATTGTGTATAATAGCACTACATTATCGTTTACACTCGTACAATATAAATATTTGTGCTCAAAATGTTTTTAGAAAAATTAAATTGAATTAATTTGTTTTTAACACAATTAAAACACATTTTAAGTAAAATTTGCTATATTTTAAGTAAAAACTTGAATTATAAAACTCATTTTTTAGTTTTATTATATTTACATTGCATTTCATCTAAGTCTAATATAAACACTATGTACCCACACCGAAAAACATGTTAAATAATACTGAATGTTTCGCTTCTATAATATGGGGCTTCTTTAAATGGATAAACATAATGTGATTAGCTATTGAAAGTATTCGTGGTTTGAACTTTTACGTCTATGTGCTCTCAATACAGAAATAAAATTTTCATGAAAAATTATACATATATGCTCTTCTTTGAAAAAAAATTTTATTTAATAAATGTAATCCTACTTACATTATTAAATAAAGACCTGTTGAGTACTTGTACGACTGACATCTAAGTCTTCTAAGCTTAATAACATACTCGCTGACTGAATTGTGTTAGTTTCATCAATGTCAGGAACGTAAAGACTATTGATATTGTGATTTCCCATTGCACTCGATGCTGCGCTACTATAAGCACTAGATGTATTTTGTACAGAAGCAACATCTACAGTTTTTTGTAACCATTTTGACGACATGATAGCAGAATGATCAATTTCAGAAGAAACGTTAAATCTCAGGCTTCTGTAATTAAATTTAATTACTTGTTTATATTACTACTCATCACAGTTATTCTTATTTTAAATAATGGTTGATGCGATTCAACTACAATTATTTACTGCATTATTAGAGATTGAGTGGCATAAATAAAACAATAATTGATTCTCACGGTAAGTAATTATTATCGTTGGAGTCCTGGATATTTTCATCACACATTTGCACAACTTGAGATAATACAAGTTCAACTGTTTCAGATGAACTTTGCAATAACTTTAGAGATTCTTCATATCCAAGGTTTAGTAAATTCTGTCCATTTATCGCGACTATTCTATCACCTGCGAATAAGAATACTTATCTACTATAACGTTTGTATTGTTTATTTAATAATGATTAAAATAACAGGTGTGATATAAGAAACCCTTTTCTTGTCAATTTAAGCAAGTTTTATAATCAGCAGCCTCAAAACTACATGTCGTATCATTGAGTCATAACATTTTAGGAAATTAACAGATTTTTAAACCAGATTCTTAAACATGACTGACATCTACACTATCTTATTGAGAATGGAAAGAGTTAAGCCGTACCGACTGTACTTTGCTGCTCACCTTTATTCACGTTTCCAGCCATATCGGCAGAGCCTCCAACCGAAACTGCCTGAACATAAACTCCACCATCGTTACCCTCCGTCACTTGCAGACCTATACTACCACCGTGGCCTCTTTCTAGCTTAATGGTTCGTAGGATTCGTTCTTCGGCAAAAGAAAGTTCGTCTAGCCTTGCGATCAAAGATGTCGACATTGTTTCATTTGGTATCCTAAATGTCTCCTCAGCTGTTCGAAGATCTGTGTCTGATGAATGTGATATTTTTAATATTAATTGTATGTATTGTAAGCAGCAATGTACATGGCTACATATAAATATTAATTTATTCGCTTACTAAGTACATAAGCTTCAGGCATAGGGGAACCAGTTGATTTTTCTGACGTAGTCTCTGATTTGAGAGACATTAGATCTAAGTCATCTGTGGTGTTAGGGTTTTGCTGTACAAGGCTACCGTACATAGATTGACTATCCGTTTTTACTTCAAGACCTCGAAATATGCTGTGAGAAATATTATTTTTATTTAGTCGATCAGCTCCAAAAATCGATGAACCCATTTTTTCCTGATAAAAAATAATATTTATTCATACACACTGTCAACTGAGTACAATTCATGATAACATTCATTTTTAAGTATAAAAACGAGGAAAAAAAATCAAAATTTAAAAACAAAACAAACTAAAGCTTTAAAACATTAAATATTTTAAACCTGTACTTACCACGTTTACATTCTTCTTAACTATTATTTCTTTCCATTGTTCATCGTTAGGCACTGTAAAATCTTTTTTTTTCGGCAGTCCTGATTTATTTATCGCTGCATACAGATCTTCAGGATTTTCAATTTTTTCATTCAATTCATCCACATCCTTTGTTGAAAAGGACTTTGGAATAGTATAAACATACTCTTCCTTTTCATCTGCATAAGGAATTCCAATATTTGCATAATTATATAATCTATCACTCTCAGTCTGATCAAATACTTTCAAACCCTTGATATTTGGTTGCGAAAGAATATTCTTATTTACGATAGAAGCACGGTCCGACTCGTCTTCCGTGTCACGAGATTCACCTTCAGGCTCTAGTCGAGTGTTTACTTGGGCGTATAATACATTTTCATCAGGACTTGTAGAGGGTGAATCTACTGTTGTTGTGCCATTCATCTCTAGCTTTTTGTCTTCTGTATCTTTTAATGGATTCTCATTCTCTTTATTCTGCTGTTCTTCAATTCGTATTGGGTAGTTCAACAGCTGCTGTTTTTTAACTGTATCAGCTATCGAAATTTTTGTTTTGGCACTTTCGGCTTTTGTTTTCGACTGTGGTGAGTTTGGTTCTAGCACCAACGGTACACCAAAGTCTGTAAAAGATGAACAGAGTTTCCATGAATAAAAATAAAAGTAGACAGAAAATCAAACTGTATGGCTTATTATGTGAGTGAAAATAACAATATGCTTACCTTTTACTAAACCCTGAAGTGATGTTAGTTCAGAACGAAGTTTTAGAAAAAACTGATGGTGCAATGATGTTAGCATAAAAGCATAATAACTCCTAAAACGAATAGTTTTTTTTATAGAACGCTCAAAATATTTTAGTGTATCATCATTATTTAACGATATTTTAAATAGACTGTTTATAATTCATATGTTATGTCATGCATTAGTTTTTGATTGAAACCGAGATTGAAACATTATACACTGTTTGTTATAAGGTCTTGATAATTTTAATATTGAAGAAAATTCTAACTGTCTTACTTTCGGTGATCCATTCTGAGTTTAAATTTGCAGCGCTTTCCATTTATCCTTGTATACACCATTAAATAATTTTTTCCATAACTAAGAGTTTGAATATCTTTCCACTGAAATTTTGCAAGCTCAAGTCTTTCTCGTAACCGGCCACCTCTTTCGAAGATTTTTAACCCTTCAGAGTGAATGGCAAGCCATACATTACTATCACTTCTTTTAAATTTATTTGTTTTACTAGTACTCTTATTGTTACTTATATTGGCATTTTTATTATTATCATCATCTGATGTTTTTTTCATTGATGAGTGTATTTGATCTTCCGTATTAGTTGGGCTTTTTGACATCATAATCTTTTGCTCATCAGTATAAGGACTACCTTCAAGATTTTGTTCTTGAGTTTCCGAGCTATTAAAATCTATTTTTCCATAAATTGGATAGTCTGAGCATTTTTCGATGTCATAAATGTTCTCTGATTCGATGTAAACATCTTGCTGACGTTGTTTTTCTGTGTCCTAAAAGCATCAAATCATTAAACAGTGTTATATGGTTTGCATACTCACATTAATTATTAAAAGTTTGTTTGAAATTATACAATTTTTAAAACTTTACTAATATTTTAAGTATTTCAGAAGTTAAACAGCTTATTTACCGGCTGTTGATTCTGGTTAGCAAACTTTTTTTGTCGAGCAACGATTTTATCAATCTCTTTTGTATCGACTGTGGCGATATAGTAATGGGCTCCGTAATCAGTCAACATTTGAGCATGTGTTACAAACATTTCTTCTGCTTTGTTAGCATCCAAACCTCGCCGCTCACGATGAGATTGTTGTAACCGCTTGCGTAATTCTTCGCCACTGTCAGGTAATTCTGGATGACGATACTGTTGCTCCTCAGAATTTAAAATTAATGACTCGGGTACATAATGTTCCAACAAAAAATAATCACCACAGCCATGCTCCTGTAAATAAAGAATTGTTACTGGTTGTAATAATATGAATTGAAAAAAAATAAATAAAACTTATGTTCGAAAAAAAATACTTAAAGAAAGTTTAAACTTTTTCAAAAGAAAAATTCTATATAAAATCAACCTGATTATTGTTGATATCGTGTTGGCTTGTGTTACATTTTTTCCTCAAAAACTCGGTTTTTACCCCGAAATGAAAAAATTTAGCTCATTAAATTACTTATAATGTCACTTGTTTTAATAAATCAGTATATCTCATCGACCGACATAGTTATATCACACACAACTTTGATGCTCTTTTTTAAAAGTTATTTACTGTCTGAAGCAAAACAACATTTTGATGGCTTATGAAATAGTTTTTTCATAAAAATTTCTTCTATACCTAGTATACATTCATAACTTCACGCATGAAGTAAGGCCATGAAGACATCTGAAACATAGTCCGATATGGTCTAGTGGCTAGGATACCTGGCTCTCACCCAGGAGGCTCGGGTTCGATTCCCGGTATCGGAATTATTTTTGCTTTTCAGATAAACAATTTTCCATGCAACTTTTTTGTTTTTAAAAAATTTTATTCTCAAGAAACAGTAACACATTAACCTTAATTTCGATATCTATGGGTATAGTATTCAAATGTTACTTTTTTTTCGTATTTGCAACACAATTATCAAAATATCAATGATAAATAAATTAGTACAATCGTAATCACTGTGATTTGTAAATCATTGAAGTTCTAGTGTTATTCAAACCATAAAAAAAACGATCGAGAAAACAACAAGCAGCTAGCGTTAATATCCCGTTATAAGGCACTTATAAGTCTTCATAATTCTACTTACATTTGTATTATAGTTTCCAAATTCAGCCTGGAGAGCAAGTCCGGTTAAATTGATTAACTGCGATAAAGGGCAGACTAACTGTTGCTCTAAAATACACCGACGTAGTTGCAAATACAACAAGTGCTTCGAAGTCCAGCTTCTATGTTGAAAAATTAATTTTGGTAAAATTTCATAAAAAAATGTGTTTGTCTTTTTCAACATTTGCTTATTTTAATCTATTTAGTTACAAATTCGTAGAGTTTTTATTAATGTGCCAAAAAATAAAAATATTATCATATTACCTTACTCCTCGGAGCGACGGTAAAAAAAAGCGGAGTCTCAAGTAAAGCATAAAATTTGTTGAAAGTCCTAATGGGCCTTTGTTCTTCCCGCCATTTAACCAACCAGGGGGTGCGACTTTATTCAATTTCGTAATAGAAGGTAACATTGCAAAGTCCCCAGCCAATAAAGCTGCTAATCCCAAAGTGAAGTTCTCTTCTATGCCCTCCGTTTGCACAATCGCCTGAAAAGTATTTTTTTTTTCATTTAATAGACAAATTCATAGTAATACTACTAACTAGTATTAGTATTAGTATTAAGACGTGTGAACTCACTGGCATAGGGCTAATAGAGCTCTCTGATTGGTCAGAGGAAGTCTGTGTTGACTACATTACAAATGAATAAAACGTATCACACAGTACACGCACTTGTGTTGAAGTAACACAAGCGTTCGTAGTACTTACAGTACGTATCAATGCCAACAGATTTTGTCTTTAGTTATTCACATATAATAATATCACTTAAGACGTTGTATTAGTTCGTGATATAATAAACACAGAATCTTTCGTATGAGGATGAATCATGAGCAAGCTTCACCGCCAGAGGGCAGCAGGACAAGATGCTACCTATAGATATAGATATATTATTTAAACACGGTCTATCATGGCGTCTCTCCAATGCACTTTCACTGTTACTTGTATGTGAGAGAGCGGGAGATTTTAAATTTTAAGGATGAATGAGCAAATTTTCAAAGAGAACTAATATGGTACTTGAAATATAAGTCGGTTTAAGAAACTACTAAAAGTAACAATGTAAATAATTTTTATAAATTTTCTTATGAAACAATGTAAATAAACCGTATTCAAATAATATATCCATATATCTATATATCTCTTAGTAGTATCTTGTCCTGCTGCCCTCTGGCGGTTGAGCTTGCTCATGATTCATCCTCATATGTATCGAGGTGCTGTGTTCCTATAGGCATCAAGTACGTATCACAAATATTACCCTTCTACTTAGCGAGGCCAATCAGTTCTCAATTTTTCCTTAGCAGCGCTTCAAAATTCTGCAGCGTAGCGAATGACCATTACAGGATTTTTACGTATTGTATGTCCTTAATCTTTGCCTCCCTCGTTCTTTTTTCCGTAATTACCATATCTTTTTCCCCAAGTATGTGAGTCTTCCGTGTAGGACTCTTGCAAAGGTCCCCTTCCCTTATATTAAACGACTCGGTCATCCATCCTACTGATTATACTATTTACACCCCAGCTATTATCCAGTTTTATGGAAAGATACTTTCCAATAAACCATCCAACTCGCTGTACCGACCCCTTTTTAGCTGACGGGTGCACCGCGGTGTTGGCTTTTCCTTCGAAAAGATAGCCCCTGGAGGTCCAGACGTCACCAGAAAAATCGACTATTTGTTTTTAAAATAATAATAATGGTAATTTGTAAGTGAACTCGAACGCACTAGCCCTCGAATATCTACAACTGGTAGGCTTGCACGCTAACCATTAAGCCATCGAACCTCTTTATTAATATTGTTTAAATTCTTTCAAAGAGAAATCAGTATTATATGTTACAGGTGTTTACGATATTTAAAACAAACTGTAGACATACAGTGAAGTGGCACTTATGATTCATTGATATATTGGTAAATTTTAAAAAATGAATCAAAGTGTATGTATAGTTTTTATTTCTGCTTTCCAATTAAAAATAACAAGTTTCTACGTTGACTTATATATAATTGTTGTATTGATCATATTTTGAACTGAGTATACCAAATCCTATGTAAATAATAACTTTATCAGGAGGCATTTAGGTAGAAACTAATTGAAATTTATTTGCCATGTTAAGGAATAAATAAAGTTGATAAAATTAAGTCCTATATTATTTTGTATATTAAACTCAAATAATAAATTACACATTTTTTTTGTGAGTATTTTCATGAGATATTGCAGTCTTTTTTAATGGTTTCAAGCTATTCGCGCTCTTGAAGTCTTTCGGAGACTTTTGCAGTCTTTGAAGTATTTTTATTGGCTTTTGAGTCTTTTCAATGACTTGAAGAGTGTGTAGCTGCTCGTAATCGAGTTTGGTGATAATTTAACATTAGTTCTATTTGCTTACTTTTGTGTGTAACTTAATGCTACCGTGTATTGACATTTTGCCTGATTCATGCATAAATGCGCAATGGTACGTATTGTTGACAATTTAAGCAAAAGATATGTGAGCTAATAAACAGAACTAATTGAGTGTCAACAATGTACTAACTTTACGAGCCATTCTGATGTATGTTGTCAGTGCTAAAGTTTATTTTAGAAAATTAAGTACTGAAAATTGTACCCGACCAAATAGCTGTTTGATAATTTAATCAGCTATTTTTTGTGTATTATTCGTGAAACAGAGTTATGACGGTAGAAAGAAAGTAATTTCAACTTACTTGAAATAGCTCGCCTGCGGTTACTTTTTGCGGGTCACACGTGACTTCGAGCCGTTGACCTGTCAAAAGTATCACAGTCAAACGTCCAACGTTGCTCATCTGAAATAAATAAATTTATTTCTTATTATAAAATAATCACCACAGCCATGCTCCTGTAAATAAAGAATTGTTACTGGTTGTAATAATATGAATTGAAAAAAAATAAATAAAACTTATGTTCGAAAAAAAATACTTAAAGAAAGTTTAAACTTTTTCAAAAGAAAAATTCTATATAAAATCAACCTGATTATTGTTGATATCGTGTTGGCTTGTGTTACATTTTTTCCTCAAAAACTCGGTTTTTACCCCGAAATGAAAAAATTTAGCTCATTAAATTACTTATAATGTCACTTGTTTTAATAAATCAGTATATCTCATCGACCGACATAGTTATATCACACACAACTTTGATGCTCTTTTTTAAAAGTTATTTACTGTCTGAAGCAAAACAACATTTTGATGGCTTATGAAATAGTTTTTTCATAAAAATTTCTTCTATACCTAGTATACATTCATAACTTCACGCATGAAGTAAGGCCATGAAGACATCTGAAACATAGTCCGATATGGTCTAGTGGCTAGGATACCTGGCTCTCACCCAGGAGGCTCGGGTTCGATTCCCGGTATCGGAATTATTTTTGCTTTTCAGATAAACAATTTTCCATGCAACTTTTTTGTTTTTAAAAAATTTTATTCTCAAGAAACAGTAACACATTAACCTTAATTTCGATATCTATGGGTATAGTATTCAAATGTTACTTTTTTTTCGTATTTGCAACACAATTATCAAAATATCAATGATAAATAAATTAGTACAATCGTAATCACTGTGATTTGTAAATCATTGAAGTTCTAGTGTTATTCAAACCATAAAAAAAACGATCGAGAAAACAACAAGCAGCTAGCGTTAATATCCCGTTATAAGGCACTTATAAGTCTTCATAATTCTACTTACATTTGTATTATAGTTTCCAAATTCAGCCTGGAGAGCAAGTCCGGTTAAATTGATTAACTGCGATAAAGGGCAGACTAACTGTTGCTCTAAAATACACCGACGTAGTTGCAAATACAACAAGTGCTTCGAAGTCCAGCTTCTATGTTGAAAAATTAATTTTGGTAAAATTTCATAAAAAAATGTGTTTGTCTTTTTCAACATTTGCTTATTTTAATCTATTTAGTTACAAATTCGTAGAGTTTTTATTAATGTGCCAAAAAATAAAAATATTATCATATTACCTTACTCCTCGGAGCGACGGTAAAAAAAAGCGGAGTCTCAAGTAAAGCATAAAATTTGTTGAAAGTCCTAATGGGCCTTTGTTCTTCCCGCCATTTAACCAACCAGGGGGTGCGACTTTATTCAATTTCGTAATAGAAGGTAACATTGCAAAGTCCCCAGCCAATAAAGCTGCTAATCCCAAAGTGAAGTTCTCTTCTATGCCCTCCGTTTGCACAATCGCCTGAAAAGTATTTTTTTTTTCATTTAATAGACAAATTCATAGTAATACTACTAACTAGTATTAGTATTAGTATTAAGACGTGTGAACTCACTGGCATAGGGCTAATAGAGCTCTCTGATTGGTCAGAGGAAGTCTGTGTTGACTACATTACAAATGAATAAAACGTATCACACAGTACACGCACTTGTGTTGAAGTAACACAAGCGTTCGTAGTACTTACAGTACGTATCAATGCCAACAGATTTTGTCTTTAGTTATTCACATATAATAATATCACTTAAGACGTTGTATTAGTTCGTGATATAATAAACACAGAATCTTTCGTATGAGGATGAATCATGAGCAAGCTTCACCGCCAGAGGGCAGCAGGACAAGATGCTACCTATAGATATAGATATATTATTTAAACACGGTCTATCATGGCGTCTCTCCAATGCACTTTCACTGTTACTTGTATGTGAGAGAGCGGGAGATTTTAAATTTTAAGGATGAATGAGCAAATTTTCAAAGAGAACTAATATGGTACTTGAAATATAAGTCGGTTTAAGAAACTACTAAAAGTAACAATGTAAATAATTTTTATAAATTTTCTTATGAAACAATGTAAATAAACCGTATTCAAATAATATATCCATATATCTATATATCTCTTAGTAGTATCTTGTCCTGCTGCCCTCTGGCGGTTGAGCTTGCTCATGATTCATCCTCATATGTATCGAGGTGCTGTGTTCCTATAGGCATCAAGTACGTATCACAAATATTACCCTTCTACTTAGCGAGGCCAATCAGTTCTCAATTTTTCCTTAGCAGCGCTTCAAAATTCTGCAGCGTAGCGAATGACCATTACAGGATTTTTACGTATTGTATGTCCTTAATCTTTGCCTCCCTCGTTCTTTTTTCCGTAATTACCATATCTTTTTCCCCAAGTATGTGAGTCTTCCGTGTAGGACTCTTGCAAAGGTCCCCTTCCCTTATATTAAACGACTCGGTCATCCATCCTACTGATTATACTATTTACACCCCAGCTATTATCCAGTTTTATGGAAAGATACTTTCCAATAAACCATCCAACTCGCTGTACCGACCCCTTTTTAGCTGACGGGTGCACCGCGGTGTTGGCTTTTCCTTCGAAAAGATAGCCCCTGGAGGTCCAGACGTCACCAGAAAAATCGACTATTTGTTTTTAAAATAATAATAATGGTAATTTGTAAGTGAACTCGAACGCACTAGCCCTCGAATATCTACAACTGGTAGGCTTGCACGCTAACCATTAAGCC